TAACTTTCACTCAAAGCCATTCTTTTGAAAATGTGGGAATTATTTCCTCACCCTTGATATCCTTACCTTTGACAAGCTTGAAAACTATGCTTTTATTGCATTATTCTAATTTTGTGCATGCTTATGAACCATTTATACTCAACTTCTTAAGTATCAACTTACTTTAAAGCATCCTTGGAACATTAACCCTTTAATTTGTTAAATATTCTCCTCTCACAAACTTTCTAGCTACCAATTGGTTTAACATAGACACTTCTATGTTTTAAATTCTCTATGTTATCATGTTTGTAAGACCTTGAACTCCCATTTGATTTCCCACTCCTAATTTATATAACTTTTCTTATATATATCCTTTTATTCTTATGGTTTGATTCTATCACTTTACTATTTGCTCTTAGCTTTATACTATTAGGAAATATTCACTTACTACTCATGCCCTAACAAGTATTTTTATACTTAATGACTTAGGGAGGATTAACTTGTAATCCCATATACTAAAATTAATGTTACTATTTATGAAACCCTTGTATACCCATTGCTAATAGTGTTGAAATCTATTTGCTGAAAAAAACTTCCTCCAGCTTTAGCTTTCTTTAACCTTAACACCTCTTATCTATTATTCTCTAAGGATTTATTCTTTTTATTTGATACCCTTATAATACTAACTATGTTTTATGTGTATATTAAACTTATTTATCCTAATAAAAAGCCTAGGGAAGTTAACTTTCACCATTTTAATCAGTTTTAATAAACTTACCTTAAAGTTATTATGTTTTTCATTGCTATTTCTTTCACACCTTCATATTTGATCAAAATATTCTATTTTATGCCTTCTAGCTTAGGCTATGTCATGTGTTAAACACTTTAAATACAATCTTTTAAGCCCTACTTTCATAGGAGCTTTGAAAACTAATATAGTCAAACCTCAACTAATTCAGAAACTTAATTTGGGTTTTATGCTAATATAAAATGCCCATTCATATGCAATAAGTCTTGAGTTCAAATCTTATAAATAGAGGTTTGGTTTAATTTCTGTTTTGAGTGAATATAACCCCCCTTCCACCTCACCAACATCTGCATAGGTCACAATACATATCCTTGTTAATCCAAATGATATAAATTCCAACTTACGAGTTCAAGTTTAATAATTATTTGAAGGTGGTTTTTTTAATCAAAACTCAGGAAAGGCTATTTACTACCATTATAAAAACTCAATTTTAAATGAAATATATTTTAATTAAGGAGTGCCATAGAATCCTAGGCTTAACTAAATTAGGCTCAGTCCAATCTGAACCATTCAAGATTTTTACCAATCAATCTGAACCATTTAGTATTTGTACAAATAATGACCCTGCAGTGATCTTTATAAAGTTATTTTCACTATAACATATTTTTTAGGTCTTTGAACAGATAGTGTTTTATTTGAAACATTTCCACCCTTAGGGTCAACAGGTGAATGGTTTAGGAGTAACCCCAGTTTGTGTTGCAAAAGCCCAAAAACATGTATTATTATTATACTACTTTGAAATGGAAAAATTATGTATGATTATTATTCAAGAACTTTCAGATATAAGATAGAATACGCAAAATTTTTGTTTTTAAGAAAATGACCTAAAAGGAACAAAAGCTCCTATTTTAGCGCTTTAGGGCTTTGTTCCTTTCAGGTATGGCTCGTAAGAAGAAAACGGCGAAGAGGAACGTTCGAAGGGACAAGGACAAGGAGGGGGCGCGAGAGGTAAAACCAGAGGCGACGAAGAATCTAGTGGAGGAGGCGACGATCGATCCAGCCGATGCCCCTGGTCGCGAGGAAGAGGAAGAGGACGGGGATGCCGATGTGATCTGGGTTCCTCCCCCTCCCTCTCGATCCAGCAAGCGCAGGAAAAGCACCGGCGGCGATCCAGAGGTGGAGTGGGAGCTCGTTTCCTCGCGACCCATCAAGAGCTTGGAGGAGATCAAGGCCTCCAAGAGCTTGGAGGAAATCAAAGCCTCCACTCGATCAACGAGGAAACGAACAGTTACAGCGGTCAGTGTGATATGATGCTAAATGATGTATAGAACTTTTCAAGAAAGATTTCCCTTCCTCGTGCTTGATCCTTATTATTTAGAAAATAAACCCAAGCGTCTAGCAATGCCTGGGAACTCTCCATTCGATCTTATACTTGTCTCTTTGTTCTTGGGTCATGAACTTCCAGAGATTCCAATCCTCTGCTACGAGCTGGAGATCTTGGAGCTTGTTCTCCAGGCCTGCTCCACAGCAATTGGCGTGCATGGTGCACACGAGCCCCAGATCCTTTGGACGCTCGCAAAACCCTCCAAAAAACTCTGTGCTGAGGAATCGCAACCTCAGTCCCAGGGCCGAGAACTCCGGGCTGAATTTAATGTCGTTGAGCACGTCCTGGTCGTGGCGGCCAGGGAATCGCAGCCGCGCGTCGTACCACAGCGCGTAGAGCGCGATCGTTCTGTTGCCGGACACAGCGTGGACGAATCCCCCGTTTGGAGCGTTGTTCAAATCGTTGTCGATTCCAGTGAAGTGATCCGATGCGATCTCGAAGTCCGCCACGGGATGGAATTGAGGGAATGGATCGCGAAACCAGAGGATATCAGCATCCTGACAGAAAACCAAACGAAAAGTTAGTGACAAAATTTAGGGTTCTTCCGTGATCTTCGGGATAATCACTGTACGAAAGAGAGCTAGGTACGGTACCGTGAACACGAAGCTATAGCCGAGCTGGAGAACGACGCGGAGGAAGTAGATCCTCCTCCACATCATCTCGAGGTAGTCGGGTGTCATGAAGCGCTTCTGCTCGCCCGCAAAATTGATGCCATCGGTGCGCAGGAGGAAGCAATGCCGGTGGATTTGGGCGCAGCGCTGGAACGAGGGCGAGTCCAGGGCGATGATCACCAAATGGGGGAGGAACCGCTCGGTCTCGATTCCCTTGTGGAAGCCATCGAGGAAGAGATCGATCATGGTGTTGTTTTCCGCCCATGCCTGGTTGAGAGTGGTGAGGATCACGGTCTTGTTGTGGAATTGCGCTCTGTGGAGGATCTTGTTGAGGTTTTGGAGCTCTTTCACGCTCTATATGTACAAATTTGCCAATCAGCCTAGAAGCAAGTCGATCTAAATTGTCAACTCACAAAGTTGCTGGTGACCGAGAGGCTCTGGAAATCGAAGTTATCCTTGCTGGGATCATGCCCGCCATCGTCCATGGTGGTGCTCGAGTTTGATGCATGCGCTGCTAACCATGAATTTTCGGTGACACCAATCTTTTCTTCCAGAATGGCTTGATCGCGGGCTTGATCGCCACTAAATGATAGAACCAAGCATAAGAAAACGAGTGTGCAAAGGATCCCTGCTGCTGGAAGCATAGCTTGCTGCAATTTTTTGGTTCCCTCCATCTGGAAAAAGCACCAAACATTTGCTAGAAGAAGGAATTGGAAGCCGCCATGATGGGGAATCTCTTTGCCTTCGTTTGAAATCAATCGAATTTCGATTATGCGAGTCTTATCATTCTTATGATGGGATTGTTCTCTCTAAGTCTAAGATTCGCATGCAAACGCAATACAAGTTGACCACCGATTTTTAAGAAATGCATTAATGTTTGGTAACAAAAAGTCTTTGATTCTATGAATTTATTTAAATATAAAATATACAGAGATAAATAATTTACGTTTTACATATAAATCTGACCAATTCAGCTTCACATTAGCGAGTAGCTTAATTGGTTTGCTGTTTAATATGATTTTTCAAACTTCATAAGAAATCAAAGAGGTAATTTGGGGTTCAATTGATGAGGCTTTACCAGCAAATAATCTATTGTCTCGACAATGCAAGAGTATGTATTATTGGTTAAAAGGAGATTTACATAGATTGCACAAAGACTTTAACCCTTGGAAATTAAGATCCAACTAACATCATAGAGATCTAGGTGGGATGCCTGACGTTAACCCACACCAAATGAAGGCACATTGTGGTGTGATACCATGTAGTTGGCTCTATGAGTTTATAATTTATAAACTTTTTTAAACTGCCATAATCCACATTTCAATTTCAGGTTATAAGATTCAAGTGGAAAAACTTCTTTATCCTTGCAAAGGTATTGATTGTTGGGGATGTTCTAATTTGTGCAAAGTCCGATTGCTTTGGCCATTCATCTTTCTTAATCACCTCAATGGTTCAATTTGAGAGACAAGAGCACACGCCTCGAATCCAGGAGAGGAATTAAGCTTTACTAAGTGACAGACAGAAAGTAGAAGAAAGGAAAGCCTCCATTTTTATTTACAAACGGATTGTTTGAGATAATCTTTGGATATCTCAATTGCACAATTGGACGAAGTGAACCACATTCTAGGAGTGCTAAACAAGCTAAGTGAGGAGGGCAGCATCAAGAATGATTTGGTGGTATGGGACTGCCTTTGCACAAAACTCATAGTTTTGGGTTCGGGTTTATTTAAACCCTAAACCCTAAACTTAACCCTTGGGATTTTGAACAAAGTTACTTAGTAATTCCTGATAATAAGCACAGAATAACACTAAAATAATTCTAGAACATTTAAAATCCTAATGCTAAAAGTAATACACAAAATGTAACCAAATGAACATTGAAGAAAGAGAAAAAATGTTAGTTTTACTTACAATACAATATCAAACTCTCCAGCTTTGCGTAAGTTGAATCTCTTTCTATTCCCTGATACCATCATCATTGATAACAAGATACCTCGGTGTCACTGTAAATCCCAGCCACATTTCAAGCCTGGCAAAACAAATTCCCCCACTCTATGATCCATATACTTCATTGGATGTCCATCTGCAAATTACTGCTCCTAAGTCATATTTCCAGATGCTGACGTCTCTCTCACTTTAGAGCACACTCAGAAACTGGCAGAGATCTATAAATTGCCTAAGTTTTTTCTGCAAGCAGCTTCGTCGTTCCTTCACCCCGAGTCATCTGTTTGAGAATGGTTTAAGTAACAGAACTTTCAAAATAGATTACCTGTTGTGGCTAAGAAACTTTAAATGGATCAATGGCAGCCAAGAAAATGTAGCATCCTCCATCTTGTACTTCTTTTTTCTCTAGAGCCAACTTTGATGCTTGAGCTCCCTCTTTGAAATCGTTCCAGCTCTTGCAAGCTCCTAAGAAATTCTTCCAGTCGGAGCTATCTGGCACAAAAGGCATGCTTTCCATCAAATCCCGAGCTCCACACAAATTGTTGGAGCGAGCGAGGACATCTGCAAAGCTCCTGTGATGGTACTTGGATAGCTTGACACCAAAATCCAGGCTTATCGACTGGAAACGAAGCCTTGCATCCGAGATTTCTCCGCCATGGCTGCAAGCGTAGAGAACAGCGAGCAAAGTAACCTCGTCAAGATCATGAGCGTTCAAGTTCGCTTCTGCAAAAAATGAATTTGCTTCGACAAATTGCCCAGCTTGAGCAAGTGCAGTTAAAACAATGTTAACGGAAGTAGTGTTCTTTTCAGGCATTTGATTGAACAAATGTTTTAGAAAATCTACATGAGAATTCACGTTTGATCCCAGAAATAAGTTTGCAGACACTACGTTTTTCACAGGCAGAGAATAATAGAGCAGCTTTGCTTGTTTGAAATGCCCATTTGAAATATACGCTGTAAGCAAGCAATTCCAAGAGACAAGATTCCACTCAGGCATTTGTAAGAAAATTTTTACCGCAAAACTCATTTGGTTTTCCTTGGAAAACGCATGAAGAACTGTCGTGTACGAAACGATGCTCTTGTACCTCATAGAATCAAAAAAGTCTTTACAACGTAGCAAATACCCAGATCGGGCATATGCCAAAAGCATCACGTTTGTGGCGATTAGATCCACCTCGGGCATGCTATGGAACAGAGAAATCGCGCCTGGAAGATCGCGAAAGAGTGCGAATCCTGAAAGCGCAGTTGTGAGAGAGATTAGATTTCTCTCCGGCATTGAATCGAGCAAGCGCTTGAGCTGGATAGATTCCCCACAAGCGGCAACTGCAGATAGGATGTGACAAAAGGAAACGAGACTTCTCTCTGGCATCAAATCGAAGAATTGCTCCACCGTTTCCAGATCCTTGGAGCCGCGGGAGTACGCGAGCAACATCGAATTCCACGAGATGATGTTTCGCAGCGGCATGGAATCGAAGAGGCGCTTGGCGGTGTCCACGAATCTCTCTTCTTCGCTCCTGGCATACGCGGCGATGATCGTGTTCCAGGAGATGAGATTTGGAGCTAGGTGGCGATCGAAGACTTGCTTGGCACGACCAACATCGCCATTTCGCGCGTAGGCCGCTAGCAGTGCGTTCCAGGCCTGGGGATTCTTCTCCGGCATTCGATTGAATACTTGCTCTGCCGCGACAAGATCGTGGCTGCGAGACAATTGGGTGATCTTCATCACCGAAACGATCGCATCACTGGATGCCATCACTTTCTCAGGGAGGGGCTGCAGGAAGAACGAAAGCTACAAAAGCTCCAACTTTGGAGTCACTGGAAAGACAAGAACGACAGGGGAGACAAGAACGAACGCAGCGGTTCTCAGATAGATCACGTCCCTATAGAATGTTCTTTTAACTCTATGCTCTTTTAAGTATATCTTCTTGCAAGATAGCACAGAGAGAAATCTCCACACAAGCTCTACTAACAGATAGCAAAGATTTGTACAAGCTTCTCGCGCGCTGTGGAGAGGCCAAAGATCTTCTCCAGGGAAGATACCTCCACACTAGAATCCTTCCAAGCGAGATACAAAGCAACGCTCCCAGAACGTTCAAATGTATGGTCGGTGAGGAAGCACGTAAAGTTTTCGAGACCATCAAAGAGAGAACTTTGATCTCATGGACGATCATGTTTGGTACATATACCAAAAACGTGGAAGGGAAGTTTCTCTTCAAAAGAATGCCAAAGCGTGATATGGTATCGTGCAATTTTGTGTTAGCTTGGTATGCCCATGTAGTTATACTGCTGAAACAGGCACCAGCTTTGAGAAAATGCCTGGGCATGATTTAGTCTCATGGACTTCCATGCTTAAGTTATATGCCCAAAGTGGGCATCTGTTCAAAGCTAAGTATGTTTGATAGAATGCCATACAGGGATATAGTCTCTTGGAGCACTATGATCAATGCCTTCAGTGAAAACGAGAAATGGAGTAGAAAGTTGGTTGAGTTTTGAGAATTTATATTTTTAAATTGAGAGTTACTATTTCTCTAGGATAAAAAATTTCCATAAGTTTTCTTAAGCCTTTTTAATAATTGATATGTTAATCATTTTGCCCAAAAATCATTTTGTTTCGAAAGCTATTGTAAACTAGTGAGAAAAAGTTGGAGTTGACTTTGGTTAAATTAGACTTTTAAGTAGTTTATATAATATGACTTGAAAGGGATATTAACTTTTGGGGCTAAGGCAATTAAGTTAAATAAAATTTAAAGTTGGTGTAAAAAAGTGGTTGTTACATTTTTTTAGAAAGTGATCTTTATGCCTTTCTTTTGTAGCGTTATACTTCGTGGTAAGTTGCATATTGTATTTTGTTAAACTTTATGAGAGTAATGAGTTTTTGTTGATCTTGACTTGGTCTTAATAGCCTTGGCTAAAGATGATGATATCCAATTTAGTTGTTTGAGGTTGAAGTGTTAGTATCTATATTATAACTTTGTTTATTAAAAGGTTATATACCATATGAATCCATTTCATAGTATTTGTTTAGTTTTGACTAAGTGTTGATCATGCATAGTTAATCTCTTCAAGGCATATTCAAAGCTATTAGTTAAATGCATTAATGAATTTATTGCAATTGAGTTAGATTCAAATGGTCATTTAGTTTATGCTTGTTTATAAACCTTTATATTGTACATAAAGTGATAGCTTCTTCTTTGACAAGTACATGACTCAATAATGTGGGTTTAGTGTTTGGGTCTTCTGAAGGCAAGTTAACAAATAATTATTAGTTGCTTTGTGACTAATGGTTATTTGTAGATTTCATTAAGGACTATTGACACTTGTTTTTCTTAATGATGATTTAATAGTGATGGGCTTGCTTTACCAGATGATATTGTGGAGGATTGTGTCTTTATCCTTGCATGGTTTTTTTATGTTAGCATGTCGATTCTACCTTTGTCAATATAATTTAGTTGCATTTAGTTTATAGTGTTGGATTTTATTCAATCTTGGACGTGGTGAATCACTTTTAATGATGTATTATTTAAAGTTGAATATTATTGAAGGATTAGTTTCAGATACTAAGTATAGTATCTTCCACCTTAGTTAACTAGGTTTGAGTGGTGATTCACTTTTAGCTTTGTTTTAGTGTTGAAAGCATTAAAGTGATGCTCTATTGTTGATATTATTGATATTAAGATTTAAGTGAAATCAAATGTCTCTTTATAGGATTGCTATTGAGTTTCATTCGTCTCAATACAAATAGTGTTGATGATTTAATTGTAACTTTATGTCGTTAACATTTTTGCATTTGTTAATTAGCAACTATATTGGCATTCAAACAAATTGAGTAGTAGGTTGAATTAGTTTTATTCTACATAAGATTGCTTAATAGAGGTTGAGATTTAGCTTTTCCTTAAAAAATAGTTTAGTTGTGGACTATGCTGTAAGGAACTAAACTCCTTGAGATATCGTATGCTAAAGGATCCCAAAATCACAACTAAAACTATAAAGAATTTATTGAAAAGACCAAGTTTGAGATCGAGTCTAAAACTAACTTTGAGATTGAGTTCAAGGCCAAGTCTAAGATTTGAGATCAAGTTTGGGACTGAGTCTAAGATTAAGTTCAAGACTGAGTCTGAGATCAAGTTCAAAATCAATTTTGAGACCAAGTTGGAATACTAATATAGGTTATAGAGTGACAACTCAAAACAATCATCTCCTAAGACTCAATCTTAAAAGAATTCTCTAGTGGTGCTTCCAAACTGAGTTGAGGTGGGGATTGGGGGTTAGTGACCTTACATAGGAATGAGCATGAACTCAAGGGGTGCCAAAAAGGCTTCTCAAAGAAATGCTCAAGACCAACTTTCACTCTTGGAAGGGAAACTGATTGTGATGCTTTTAACTCATATGAAGTGGTGCCCCACTTAAGTATTATATAACTTATACCACTTGAGTCCTCACTCCTTCTTAGGGGCTTGTGTTTTCCCTTTGGGAGGAAGTGGGGGAGTAAAGGTACCCATACCAAATTATTAGACCATAGTGTTTTCCTCCCAAGGTTTTAAAGTAAAAGATGCACCTAAGGCTTGGGATTTAAGGGTCCCATGATTAAGTCTTATTGTATTAAGGGATGTTAGGAATCATGTTTAGTATACTTAGTTGCTAATGCCTGTGGGGAGTGTAGCCGAATTTTAAGTTTAGTATAACCCGAAAAAAAGAATTGGGAGAGAATTTAAAGATCCGTGGATAGATGAATAACACCCTATTATTTATGTAGTGAGTAATTGAATTCAAGTAGAACCAAGTAAGAGCTAGTGCAAGAACTTTGGTGAGGGAATTTAACTGAGACCAAAACAAATATGGTTAGATAGATGAAATAAATTGGTAAATTAGAAAATGAAAATTTATGCCTTACATCTATTAGCTTTATGAAAGGAAGAGTTAATGATCAATATTGAGCTCCTTATTGTATTTGAATTGAGGATATATTGACCATTGGTAAGTCTTATATGCTTCTTATAAAGTGAGTTACGTTGTACTATAAAAGATAAATTCATGGAGGATTTTTTTATCATTTATTGAACATACCTTTATTGTGCTTAACTTTTGGATTGATGCAAACATATTCCTCATTAGCATTTATATTATAAAATTTAGCTTATAAATGTTTTAAAAAGGATATTCTAGGTTGTATCATAATTTCTTCTTTGGCATTAAAGTTAGTTTATATAAGACTTATAATCATTGTTAAACAAAACTTGACTATAAGCTTCCTTGACCTTCTAATTCTTTGAGTTTTCATACTCATTTTTCTATTTGTTAAAAGTTGTCAAGGAAGGTATTTTGGGTCAATTAGTTTTGATATTTAAGTTGATATGGCAATTTGAATGATTTGCCATTATTCAGAAGGTGGATTACTTCTTTGATGATAATTATGCATCTCTTTATTGATGGAATGATTGATAATCTTTCACAATGGTTAATTGTTATCTTTGATATAAATTAACTTTTTGCATTACCATATGTTCTTTGTTGTTTGTTTTAGATTGGTATCTTGGGTTTGTTTGAGCAACTTAAATTTTTTTAGTATTGTTAAGGGGGATTTATTTAGATTGGTTAATGCAATGTTGTTGATTTTATTGCATTTATTTTGTTCTATTGATTGTTGCTATGGTTAATTTTGATAGATTGGATATAATTTCCTTTAAATGATACATTTGCAAGCATTTTACTTGCTAGTTAATAATACTTTATGTTATTTAAATTGTCTTTCATAAGTTATTTGGCATGTTATCTACAATCTTTGGTAGTTAAGTTTTATAATTGAATTTACTTGATAATATACTTGCTATTGAATTTTGTTAGATGGTTACTCTTGTGCTTTGTAAACTCTAATGATCTTGGTGGTTCCTATAATCCTAGTTTATCAAATGATAACTTTATTAGAATACTTTTTTGTTATAATATATGCATAATTCATTGATAATTTAATTTCTAAAATATCATTATCTATGGCTTTGTTATTGCCTATCTTTTACTCTTTGGGTTTGGACTAGTATAAGGAAATTGGCTTCAGCACTTCGTGTGTATAGTAAAATCTTTAATCATTGGATAGTTATTATCAACTAATCATATAATATACCTTTCTCTCAATGTTCTTTATTCCATTAAAAGGGCATGACTGTATAAACAATTCTCACTTCCTATTTATAGTAGTTTATCTAAACTTTACTGATAGGTTTGGTTTGTTTTTTTAGGAAGGTTAGGGCCTTTAGTTTCTCTATGTCATCTATGAGCAAAGATATATCATCTTTTGTAAGCTAAATGACACTCAAAGTAGCAAAGATGGCTGACTTCATTGGTCGTTTCTTTGTCAGTGACAACCAAAAGGTGTCTGAGTTGGAGCACATTTGCATTAGACAAAGAGGTTACCCTTAACTCATTTAAGTTAGTGCATTTCTCATATAAGTATGAACATTATGAAGTTTTTCTGGAATTGTTTCGTTGACAATGGTATAGACTAGAGTATGCATTGATGAGGATATGGATTTTTTCTATAAAGGGGGAGAGTGTTGTGAATGTGATTGCGGGTATAAAAAATTAGCAATTGGTGAGAGTTTTCAAATATTATTTCTTTACTGCTAGGATAGCAAAAGATTAATATTGTTGGGCCCTTTATCAAACCCTCTTATGTTAGTGGAGTTAGCTCGGCATTTTGAGTATACTTAGACCAGACGAGCATAAGTACAAAATTCCTATATATTATTAACTAAGCATACTTAGCCTGGTAAAGAGTTTCTGTCTCTTTGTGTCTTGCACTAGCTAGTGACAAAAACCCTTGCATATTAAAATTAATCCTTAATATTGCCAAATGATAGCTTACCATATCTATTAAACACCCTTACTATCATACCTTAAATGTTGGTTTCATTCAGTCTCATTAGCTATTTATGGAAAATGACAAATATTGTTTTAAACATGATAGTGTTATTTCTGTATCCAAATTCACAATTTAACACCATTTAATATTTAGTAAGTTTTCGTGATTGTCCTAGAAACAAACTTCTAGGATTGAGGTGAAAGCCCAAAGTGTGCATTCTTTTAGAGGGGGTGGTTGGAACAGGAATATCAAGATACCAAGTTGAAACAGAATCTTCAACATCACCAATGTTTTATGGTTTCATAAGTGATGAAGCACAAGTAAATTAGTGAGCTATTAAAATTGTCTACAATGATAGTCTAGGCAAGGTTTTAGTTAGCCGAGAGAGGAGTTGCCTTTCTCCATTGAGAGTAGAGTTTACATGAATATACGGAGAAATGCATATGAGTTAAATACCATGATGAACATAAATAGTTGTGCCAGAGTTTAAAAACTATAAACACTTTAGAAAATGTAAAAAAGCAGTATAAGTTCATATATTTATGATGGGCTAAAGGTAATGTTTATGAGAAAGCAATTCCAAGACTACATACTTAACTAACATGGTGGTTTATTTGTTTTCCACATTAAGGGACTTTAGTTATTTCTCAAGTGAATAAGTATTAGCATTGATTTTTTTTATTAATTTTCTTTCTATTGTAGATAAGTTCTGAAACAATTGCTACCCAAATTCCAACAACAAATCTTATTGAGAGTTACTATGCAATATAGCTAGCAAAAATAAGTAGCTTTAAACGTGTATCTCTATTTGAAGATTGCTAAAATGACTTAGTCATTTCTATTTTACAACAAACCTTTATGCATGCTTATATGAAAGGCTAGGTTATAAGAAATGGACCAAATCTTGAAGATTTAGTGGCATGCTTATTTATTACAACATTGATATGACCTTCTAGTCATAAGCTCACAGAGGTGATAGGATCAACTTTATATGATCTTAAAATTTGATTTGTTATAAAACTAATTAGGAGCCTTGAAACTATTAGAAGGAAGCAATAAACAAATAAGCTAATACAACTGATAGATTCACACTGTTCTAAGTACAAGTATGTTACTAAAGAACAAAGAGGACTAGTGCTTCTGAGCAACCAAGAACTTAAGTACTTCTAAGTCAAAGAATAAAATATTCATAAAATTGAGTGGGATATATGCTAATCTAGAGCAAGATTTGTAGTTAATTGTTTTGCTTGGATTGGAGGAAAATTATGTGTTAAGCAAATTATTATAAGAACCTTACACACTCCAACACCTTGTTTTTGGGGATGATAACAATATGGTGATCCTTCACAACATTGTAATCAGTTCATATGGTTCTATCCAATAGAATTTTTGCACACATTGTCTATTGCAACACAAATTATCCAAAAACTTGCACCATATATTTAGTCAATTGAAGAAAGGGTGAACTTGATGAATTTGGAGCTTCAAGCTTTGGTTGAAGCAAGCTTTAAATTTGAAAAAAATATTTTACAACCATAAACTTAACCTCAACACTATTCTCAAGAAGTTCTAAAAATAAAAAACAATAAACATGTGAAGATTACAAATATTTGGTCAAATAAAGTAAAAATAACATACTCAAAAGCATTACAATTGAAGGCAGAAGTTAAGAGTGTCAGCATACAGTTCTTAGTTATAAAACTAATACTGTAAACATGAAGGTTTACAATATCACAATCAATTAGTTTTCAAATTGCACTTGCACATACTTCTTTCAATGTTAGACTTTTAGTAAGTCCTCATCCCTTGTAAGTATGTATTTTGTATATTATATGCTTCTTGGGATGGATTCAAATATTAAACTTTGGATTTATCACTTTGCAATATCTTAATATGAGGTGTTCATGACATTGAAAAAAAAAAAAGATATTGGTATTGTATTTGAATTTAATATACTATAAATAATTTTTGTATTTATAAATTACATCTAAAATAACATATAGCATGGGATTTTATGTAATAATAATAAATTTAATATAAATATACATTATAAATTAGAGGATTCTTACCTAAATAATTAGTATAAATAACAATTATTAATTATTAAAATAATAATTTCTTCTGTAAACGAGTTGATAAGGTATTAAATAGCAACTATTGCTACTAAGATTAGATACTGGTAGTTTACACAAATCTAAATATGAATAAAATTATTAATTTGGTTTAAAATACCTATTTAATAAAAATATTGACACTAAAATCTTAACAGAATATTCTTTAGTGTACCAGAATATTCTTAAAATATTCTTGGCTCCTACTGGCAAATCCATAAGTCTTGTCATTTGAACACTCCCACTAGAGTTGAACAGGTGATGTTGCTTGCCTGGATTATGCATGGTTCAAAGCCATCAACCACATGGTCTCACTGTAACTGCTAGATCATTTTGTAATTCACATGGCCAATTGCACTTGAGGTTTGCATATATGCAGCTCCCCCTAAAGATGAACTTGTAGTAACTATCATCATAGCTAGTAGCTTCCTTGGGACACAAACTTTGCAATCCAAACAACTATTCTATCTAGCTTGCAGAAGCCATATATCCAACCTTTGAATGTATGATCACCACGAAACTCCAAGTCAAATCCTTGTTCCATCATTTGTCCAAGGGACACTAAGGAATGTTGAGCCTTAGAAATATACCACACATGCTTGACTGTGGAAACTGTGGAGCAATTCTTCAATTTGAAGCGAGAGAGAAGTCTCGTTTCTTGCCTATCTATGTTAGAGCCATGTGGTGTACAAAGTCTGAATTCAGTTTTTCTTTGCCATTTCTTGAGAGCCATTGGAAAGGTTTGTTCTGGGAGTGTCTTCAAGGCTGAGAGGTCTTCACATGGTATCAAAGGAATGGTCAGAATTTTTTGGCACGGTAATGCCTTAAATGCTAGGACAGGATGGCATCCTTTTCAGAGTAGTTCAATGGATTAATTTCCTTTCCTTGGATAGTTCTGGTTTATGAGGTGGGGATTTTGGCCCATGGTATCTGAAACGAGAAAATGCTCACTAAAGGATGACAACATTGATCAATACAATGAATGGCATGATCTAGATGCCAGGGCAAATGGAGCTTTAGGAGGAGGACTTGGCCCTCTTTAGAGTGTCCATGTGAATGTGGAAAAGACTTCTACTCACAATTGGGCTAGAATTTGTGAAATTATGGGAATGGATCTGCAAGAGGATGTAGACATGATTCTTCATCACAGTGAACTCTACAGCTTGGAGTAGCAACCCAATGGGCAAGTACAAAATTACATCACTCGACTCCAGTGTAAGGTGGTGGAGAGTCAGCTGTTCGATCTAGATGGCAGTGTCACAGATCAAGAGTTAAATGCAGTTCTTTTTAAAGGACTTGCAACTCGTGCTATGAAATCTCATCTTCTATATATCAAGAAAATTACAGACATCACCCACCGGGAGACTTTTGCTGAACTCATGCAACATGAGAAGACCCTTGTAGGTGAAGGCAGGAGCTCTATTTTCAATCAACTTGGAAATAAGCACTCCAATAGCATGAAGGAAAAACCAGGAATCAAGCAAAAATTCAACTTGAAGTGCGGGACAAGTTGAAAGTGTGGGCATGTCAAGAGGCAAAGTTGAAAGCTGAGCGTGGATCTTCCTCTTGCAGCACCACATTTAACAATTGACACTGAGATGATGGCGACAACAAAGACTTCCGCTGCAGCCAACGGCTTGTCATGGATGACTCAAGGAGCAGTGTTTGGCTGGATTCAGCAGCAATAACGGGCCAGATCCTTGGAGCTGCCGGAGTACGCGAGCAACATCGAATCCCACGAGATGATGTTTCGGCATGGAATCGAAGTGGCGCTTGGCGGTGTCCACGAGTCTCTCTTCTTCGCTCCTGGCATAAGTGGCGATGATCGTGCTCCAGGAGATGAGATTTGGAGCTGGGTGGCCATCGAAGACTTGCTTGGCGCGACCAACATCGCCATTTCGCGCGTAGGCCGCTAGCATTGCATTCCAGGCCTGGGGATTCTTCTCCGGCATTCGATTGAATGCTTGCTCTGCCGCGACAAGATCGTGGCTGCGAGACAATTGGGTGATCTTCATCACCGAAGCGATCGCATCACTGGACGCCAGCTCTTTCGAATCACTCCATATCTTTCTTTCTTCTTAGATAGTTTGAAAGAACAGTTCCCTATAGAATGTTCTTAGCTCTATGCACTTTAGTATACCTTCTTCCAAGATAGCACAGAGAGGAATCTCCACACAAGCTCTAGTCACAGATAGCAAAGATTTGTACAAGCTTCTCGCTCGCTGTGGAGAGGCCAAAGATCTTCTCCAGGGACGATACCTTCACGCGCGAATCCTTCCAAGCGAGATACAAAAAAACGCTCCTCTTGGCAACCAGATCGTTCAAATGTATGGTCGGTGTGGCTGTCCCGAGGAAGCACGAAAAGTTTTCGAGACCATCGAAGAGAGAACTTTGATCTCATGGAACATCATGCTTGGTGCATATACCCAAAACGGGTATATGGTGGAAGGGAAGTTTCTCTTCGAAAGAATACCAAAGCGGGATGTGGTTTCTTGGAATTCTCTATTATCTGGGTATGCCCGTGTCGGGTACACTTCTGAAACAGGCACCAGCTTTGAAAAAATGCCTGGGCATGATTTAGTCTCGTGGACTTCTATGCTTAAATTATATGCTCAAACGGGGCATCTGGGTCAAGGAAAAAGTATGTTTGATAGAATGCCAAACAGGGACATAGTCTCTTGGAACACTATGATCGCTGCCTTTGGCGAAAACGAGAAATGGAAAAGCGCTGCTGCGATGTTTGAAAGAATGCCCGAGTGGAGTCTCGTGTCTTGGAATTCCGCTTGCCAGGCATTTTCGCAAGGTGGGCTCCTGGAGGAGGCCAAACGGAGCTTCGATCAAATGCCAAAACGAGATCTAATCTCGTGGAATGCAATGCTAGCTGCGCTTGTTCAAAAGGGGAACGTTGACGAGGCCAGGAAGCTGTTCGATCGATTTCCACTCCGGAGTTTGATCTCGTGGAACACTCTTTGCGTGGGTTATGCCGAGAACTGGTCGATCTCGGAAGCCCGGAACACGTTTGAGCTCATGCCGGAGCGGGACGTTTTCGCGTGGACGATCATGCTGGGATCATACGGACAGGATGGTCAGCTGGAAGAAGCGAAAAACTTCTTCGATTTCATGCCAAGGAGGAGCCTAGTGACATTCACGGCGATGATCGCAACTTACGGACAGAATGGATTCGTGGAGGAATCCAAAAGGCTCTTTGCTGGCTTGCGAGAATCAAACAACGTAACTTGGAGTACGATGTTGCTGGTTCTCGCTCACGCTGGCTGTGTCGAAGAGACCGAAGAACTCTTTGCCAGGATGCCCGAAAAGAGTGTTGTCTCGTGGACGATCTTGATCACGGCGTATGCCCAAAACGGCCATATGCTGCAAGCCAAGAAAACTTTCGATCGCATCAAGAACAGGGACACGGTTGCATGGGCAGTGATGGTGGCGGCATTTGCTCAATACGGAAGTGGGCGAGACGCGATTGATCTGTGGAGAGAAATGGAGCTCGGGGGTTTCAAGGCGGAGGAGATAACTCTGCTAAACGTTCTTGCTGCTTGCAGCCATGAGGGATTGATCGACGAAGCTTGGAGGGTGTTCGTGTCGATACCACGGGACTATGATCTTGGATTGAACAGGGAGCATTACTGGTGCATGCTGGATGTTCTAAGTCGAGTTGGGATGATCGAAGACGCCGAGGAGCTCATCGAAACAATGCCGTTTTTGCCAGATGAAATTGCGTGGGGAACTTTGCTGGCTGGATGCAAGATCCACAACAATCCCAACTGTGGAGGTCGTGCCGCTGATATGATCCTCCGTAGCAAGCCCTGTGCATCCACCCCTTTGAAAGCATTGCTGGGCATTTGTGTATAGAGTCTTTCAAGTGAATGCTTGCTGACCAGCGTTGAATGATAGCTTGGAAACTTTTTGGAGTTCGAAGGAAACAGGGAACTAGGGAAGCTGTTACTGATCAAGACGACGCTTATCTGAACAACAATCCCCGTAATGTTTTGGTTTTCCATAATTTTTATTTCCCTCAATTTCTAAACTTTCAGGCGTTCGTGACAATCAAGTTACAGTGCTAACAATAGAATGACGGCAGCATACGGGACTCACTTCAAACTTTAGCTACCAAGTAGTGCAAATGAATAATGTAAGTAGTGCAAATCTAGGAGTGACTTCTTACTATCAACCATCTTTGCCAGTTTGCTGGTAGGCTTCTAACACCTTTTGTTATCACATTTGAGAATTTGATAATTGTGAACATCACCTAAACTTGTAAGTTTTTTGAGCTAATAAAATAAATCTATATGTAGAACTTACACGTTTAAAACATGGAAGTAGTTATTTATTTATCATTTTATTTAGTACTGTTTAAGAATTAAAGAATTTTATTTTAATAAAATATTGACAAAACAGGAGATCTGGTTTGGAAATATGTTTATAAATATTTAAAAAAATTTAATATAAAATACAATAAATATTTTATATTTTATGTCAAGGTTTTACAATAAAATTAAAATTGAAATATTATAATTCTTTTTAAAAAATTTATTTATTATTATATTTAGTACCTCTATATTTGTCATCTTATAAGTCACATCAAGATTTAAAAGAAAATTATCATATAGCTGAATTACTCTATAATTATCCCCAAATGTATTGTTTAAAATTTATAAAACTTTTTTGGTTAACAATTGAATGTAATAATATAAAAATAAAGTTCTACTGTAATATATTAAGCTAATTAATTTTTCTCTAATAATTAATTTTATGGTGTAAAAATATTTTGTTACAGCCATATTAATATATTTATTTTATCTAACTCCTATTAAGGATAAATTTAAAATCAATAAGTACTTAATAGTATTAAATTGTAAACTATCTAAAGATAAAGTTACTTATTTATTTTACATTATCTATTTAAAATTTTAAATAATTATAATATATATTTAAAATAAAATATTTATGGAAGACGTTGACCTCATTATATCGTAAAAGTTTTATTTACACTTTAAAATATATTTTTTTTATATAAATAATCTATAATAATAAGAATGAAGAACCCAGACCCCGCAGCCATCCAATCCCAGGCCCGGGGCAGCCTCGGAAGCCATGGTTCTCGGAAAGGGGAGGCCAGTCCAGGCTCGGGCTAGGGCCAATGGCCATGGTTAGTGGGAATATTAGCTCAATGTTGTGGCGGCCAATGGGCGGGATGCATGCATGGCTGGGAAGGGAAGAGGGTGTGGTGACAGGTGTTATGCCATGCACTCCTAGGGCTCCATGGCTTCTCTAGTTGGACACGGTTGTGTGGGCATTCCCGTGAGAGCCTGTGTGTGGTAAGTAATAGGGGCAAAGAGAATGGTAGTCGGGCACACAATCCAGGCTCCTCTCAGGATCAACTCAAGACTGTGAGAGGCAAATTGGCTCATCTCCAACTCAGCAAAGCTTTGATCCCTGTTCGCCACTGCCTCACGAGCTCTTTGGCTTGCAGGAAAGCAATTATCAAGGACACTCCCTCTTCATCCCCAGATTCTCTCGAGGAATCCCTTGCTGCTGGGCCTGGTGAGGGATTTTTGTTTCAGCACATGATCGGGATCAACTCCGTTTGTAGGAACCAGGTGTTTTGAGTTGACGTAGGGCTGTCGAGTGGCTGCGCCAGCCAACACTGCTCCTAAAGTTTTGGAAATCCGACACAGCACTGATGTCTGGGTTCTCTTGAAAGAGAAGGAGAAGCAGAAGGTGCCACCGCAAGCATCGCCTGGTTTAGGTTCGTTTTTAGATCGAGGTAAGTCGTAAGTTTGTATTCTATGATGAGATTTTTTTTTCTGTCTGATACTGATTCTATCGAATCTAAAATTTAGTTCCAGTTTCTGAGAGTTTGAGGGCTAGTTTCAACGATGCTGTGCTGGGATGCTGTGCCAGGTAACCTGATGCTGGCGTAGGAGCAGCACTTGGGGCTGCAGCTCAAAATTACAAAGCTGTGGATTATGAGGCAAAGATTGGTAAACACAACATTGGAGTTATTTCGTTGTTCTTGAGTGTGCTTTGCAAAAGTCTAATATTTTCCTTTCAGATCATTACATAGTTGTGAAATTTATATATATCCAACTGTACTTTGCATTTCTATTCTGCATAAACTTCTATACAAACTCAATTTTATATATATATATATATATATATATATATAAAATCAAACCTATAATCAAAGTGACTGAAAATGCCTCGCCTCTGCCATCTTTTGAGAACCATACGACATAATAAACAATCTAATGGAGATTTAGATGCCTCTGAAACTATGATTGACCATGATACACATACTATAGCTGTTCAAAATAATCATGATAATGATTCTATATGCCAAAATATTAATCATGATAATGATTATATACAGCAATCAGTTGGACAGTTAGAAGCATCTGAAACCTTACATGCATGTCATTATGATGATTACATATATCAAGCAATATTAAATCCACCACTCCCACCCATGAATACCACACTAGCAAGCCATAGCATTTATATTGACTTTAACATAATAAATTTTAATGTTGGTAGTTTATCATTTGTTTGTACTTTTTGTAATACATTACATTTTAAAGATGAAAACTCTTCAATGTGTTGCCAGGATAACCAAGTTATATTACCTCCAATTTCACCTTTACCATTTGATTTACTTTCACTTTACAAGCAAAACAAGAACTCTAATTTTAAAACAAATATTAGACACTACAATAGTGCTCTTGCTTTTGCATCTATGTCTTCTAATATTGATATTGTAAAAGGTCATGGTCCTTATTGCTTTAAAATCCATGGTCAAATATATCATAATATTATTTCAGCACATCCTTTTGAAGGTCAATATTGGACTTATGGACAACTTTATATGCTTGATACTCTAGAAGCTACAGATATAAGAAAGCAAAACCCTTTTAATTCAAGCTATGAGACAAACTTACTTAAACATCTTGATGCTCTCCTTAGTCATGTTAACCCATATGCTTAAGCTTTCAAAATGATGTATGAAATGGAACAAGAAGAAATTCGTTCTGCTACACTTTCAGGTTATCCTATACATGGTGTTTACATGTTATTAAAAACTGAAGGAACTAATCCACGACGCTATAATGCTCCACGGACAAATGATGTTGCTGTTGTATTTATTAGTGATGATGGAGAACTGCCACATAGTCGTGAAATTTGTATATATCCAACTATAAGCAATTCTAAATATATTTCAACACTTGATTATAATTGTGATCCAATGGTTTACCCATTAATATTTCCTTTTGGTGACAAAGGTTGGCACAACAATATTTTTAATTCTAGACGTCGAATTACATTACTCCAATATTATGCATACCGTTTATCTATAAGAGAATACACTTTGGTTTTGATCAAATTTTACATGCAGGAAAACTCACACAACAATATATAGTTGATGCCTATGTAAAAGTTGAAAGCAATAATTTAAATTACTATCGCACTCATTAAACGTCTATGTTATAGAAGGTTCTGAACAAATGGCACTTCAAAGAGCTACTCAAAATGGTATGATGTTGACAAAATGGTTTAAATTAAATATAAATGACCCAAATGCTAGACAATATACATATCTGGAAATCCCTTTATATTATACATTTAACGCTCATACTCATAACTAGCAAATTCGACATACAAGAAATGTCATTCCCCGAATGTATTCTGTGTCACCATCTAATGTTGAACTATATCATTTACATTTTATTTTACTCCATAAAAAAGGTGCTATGTCTTTCAAAGATCTCAAAACAGTTAACAATATTTATTATGACATGTTTCAACAAGTTGCAGATGCAATAGGGGTTATAGCTGAAGATACCAAATGGGAAAAATGTTTGAAAGATGCTTGCTTTTTTAGAATGCCATCACAATTAAAACAATTATTTGTATTACTTTGTATTTTTTGCATTCCAAAAGATCTTTACTTCTTATGGGATAAATTTAAAAACTTCCTTTCTAAGGATTTTGTAAGCAACCAAAGAGAACGACTTGAGAGACGGTCCATGGGGTTCAAATATAGAGGGAAAGGGCCCATGAATAAGAGTGCACCCCCTTTTCCAATCGGTTAAGGGTCTTGGGATAGTTGGAGTTAAGTGTCCTTGGGTTTGAATAGTACTGGGCTGGGTGACCTCCCGAGAAGTCCAAACTCAGGAGTTTACATTTGGTATCAGAGAGGTCTCAGGTCCGACTCTGTTGGTTGGCTAAGGGAATCACACCACATGTTGATTGACATCTGGCTGGTCCAGTTTGCTCCCACTGGGCTCGACCCGAGGGGTAGGGTGTCAAGAGAGTGGAGCTCTCGGGAGAGTTGCGGCTCTCAGTTTCCATAGGGTTCAAATATAGAGGGAAAGGGCCCATGAATAAGAGTGCACCCCCTTTTCCAATCGGTTAAAGGTCTTGGGATAGTTGGAGTTAAGCGTCCTTGGGTTTGAATAGTACTGGGCTGGGTGACCTCCCGGGAAGTCCAAACTCAGGAGTTTACAGATTTCATGTAAACAAATTCAATTTTTTATTATGAACATGCTTTATATAATATGGATATTAAAATAAAAATGCATGGCAAAACTAATCAAAACTACCAACTACCTTTGCCATTTGAAAATTTTGATGATGAAAATATTGTCAACTCAAGACAAATATGTCAAAATGTTGAATAAAATATTCCTCGATTTAATCAAGAACAGTTAAATATTTTTAATGACATTTCTAATGTTATTGATCAACCAACTGAGCATAATCGATACATTTTCATTGATGGCTCTAGTGGTACTAGTAAAACATTTTTGCTTAACACTCTTATAAATATTTTACAATTGAAAAAAATAAATTTT